CCTACTACTCCGCTAAATGACAGCCTAATTTGAATTGTACATTTTCAAGGAACATGCCACTGGGTGCTGTCTAGAATAGGTCTAAGATGAAAGGACCGTCTTATTTAAAAAGCGCTACCACACACACACACCATTACATCCTTAGAGTCAAACATATACTGTGTCTCGGAGAAATAAGGAGAAAAGACATTCACACCCATCTTCACAATGTCACAAATGATAAATCACAAATAAATTTGTATAAAGCTTGAGTCTAATGTGAAGAGCTCATTATATATATGAATTAAAAGGCCATTCATCAAGCTTGTTAAGTATAGAACATGCCTCCCACTTTGCCTGTGGTTCGTTAACATACATTCAGTGAAATTCAGAAGCCGTATCAGACTCCAGAATGTGAGCAATGCCTGCAGGTTGTGTAAATGAGAAGGAAACTGGTACGTACGACACGTGAGCAACCTGAGCTGACCAACACCAGAGAATATTAGTGTACTGATGTGAAGAAGCTTAGCTGAGTAAGGCTTAATGGTGAGAAGAGAAAGCTGATCTACAGGACTGTCAGCCCATTCAGTATGGGTTTAGCTGCAGAGCAAGTCAGACTGTGATTAAAATTTGAATTTTATAGTAATGTTATGCAAATAAGGCAGCTATCTAATGTGTTTAATTTGAGTGAAGATGATACATAATTAATTAACCATTTTAAACAAATTTTAGTTTGATATGATCAAGTGAAATTCCTAAATATATTATTTAGTGTTACAGCATTTTCAAAGTTTGCACTTTGACACAATGCAGCTTAATTAATATGTGCGTCTGCCTGTGTTTCTTTCCTCTGCTTTTCATGTTCTGTCGACAGCAGGCTAGTTTTCTTGAAGCAGGCACGTCCACCTAATCCACAACATTAAAATACAGCCACTTACATGCAAATGTCTTTTATACCTAAACAGCAGCAAACAAAAAAATCTCACCATAAATTCTTAGCATGCAGTATAAAGGTTGAGTGCTGATTTATTCAAAGCTACAACCTGCAAATAAAGAAATTAAACCCTTAAATCTGTATTATTTTTCAGTGCAGTAAACTGATTGGGAAGGTGTGTCCAAATTTTTGACTGGTACTATATTTACACACAAACACTAACTGAACAAATCACTGACAGTCAAGATTCAAGATTTTAATTGCCATTTATGCATAAACAGACCGGTCTAGGCATAGAGAAATTTTTGTGCAGCTCTCCTTTGGAGTCAGAGGCCAGAAAGAACACTTAGTCTTAAAATAAAAAACTTGCATAAAGGCAACAAAGCATTAAAACACAATACACAAAAATAGAGTAAAAGTATTTCCCACCGTGAACTTCAAGCATTCAAACATTAGTGATTCACATGGTGGAGCTGGATATGTCATTATGCTTGGTGAGGTAGTGAGGGGTTATTGCACATATATTCTCACATTTTCGTATTTGCCATCAGTCTTACTGTGGCAAGGAAAAAGCTGTTGTAAAGTCTTGTTCTGTGTGTGATGATACTGTCCGCCCTGCTGTGCCTGAGGCTGTAGGTGCAGTTTTTGTGTCTGAGCAGGGAGTAAGCTGGGTGGCGTGGGTCTCTGATTATGTTCTCTGCCCTTTTACGACAGCGCTGTGTGTACAGTGTGTCCATAGCAGGCAGTTCAGTCCCAGTGATCCCCTCTGCAGTCTTTATGACCCTTTGAAGAGCCTTCCTCTCTGCCTGTGTGGTGTTACCATACCAGACTGTGATGCCAGTAGTGAGGATGGTCTCTACCAGTCCTCTATAAGCCTCGGTGAGAGGGCAACGATTTAGCCCAGCTTTTCTGAGCCGCCTGGTATTTATATTTTAAATTTTAAAAAAATCAACTAAAAATTTTCAGCCTACACTTGTTTTCATTTAGAGTCATGTTGCTGCCCATGTAGTGAGTTCAACATTCACTTGCCTTTTAGTTTTGTTTTGGTCTCCACCAACTCCTGATGCAAATATATGATTCTTTAGTGGCTAAATGTTCTACTGTGTTGGCCACTTGGCCCCTGACTCTGCCTGCCATTTGTTACTGAATAGAGAGAGTACAATGGTTTTTATTTAGCCTTGTCTTTTACTAAAACCAGCACCCTGATGTCACTGAGAACGGTGCTACGTGTAATTGTGATAATGAACCAAAACAGTCTAGCTCATGAAGACTGCAGAGTCAGATGATGATTCTCTCTAGATTTGCTACTATGAGCGATACTTTTCACACT